TCCAAAGAGATTAGAGGTGAACTCCAAGGTCAAGGTACATCAGTGTCAGATCGCACCATCCGTCGCTGTTTGAGCCAAAGTGGACTTAATGGAAGACGGCTGAGGAAGACTCGACTGTTGAAAGCAAATCATAAAAAAGCGAGACTGGAGTTTACCAAAATGCATATTGACAAGCCACAAAGCTTCTGGGAGAATGTCCTTTGGACAGATGAGACAAAACTGGAGCTTTTTGGCAAGTCACATCAGCTCTAGTTTCACAGACGCAAAAATGAAGCATACAAAGAAAAGAACACTGTACCTATTGTGAAACATGGAGGAGGCTCGGTTATGTTCTGGGGCTGCTTTGCTGCATCTGGCACAGGGTGTCTTGAATCTGTGCAGGGTACAATGAAATCTCAAGACTATCAAGGCATTCTGGAGCGAAATGTGCTGCCCAGTGTCAGAAAGCTTGGTCTCAGTCGCAGGTCATGGGTCCTCCAACAGGATAATGACCCAAAACACACAGCTAAAAACACCCAAGAATGGCTAAGAACAAAACATTGGACTATTCTGAAGTGGCCTTCTATGAGCCCCGATCTAAATCCTATTGAACATCTGTTGAAGGAGCTGAAACATGCAGTCTGGAGAAGGCACCCTTCAAACCTGAGACAGCGGGAGCAGTTTGCTCACGAGGAGTGGGCCAAAATACCTGTCGACAGGTGCAGAAGTCAAATTGAGAGTTACAGAAATCGCTTGATTGCAGTGATTGCCTCAAAAGGTTGTGCAACAAAATATTAAGTTAAGGGTACCATCATTTTTGTCCAGGCCAGTTTCATTAATTTGTTTTTTAAAATTATTCTGTTGAACCACAATTCAAAAGCAATGATTGATTATCATTAGTTAATTTTCAGTAAATTTTTATTTATTATTACTTTTGTCAGTTTCAAGTTATTTCAGTGACCATTGTGGGTTTTTCTTTCTTTAACGGAAGGGTACCAACAATTTTGTCCACGTGTGTGTATATATATATACACACGTGGAGGAGATACCAGGAGACCGGCCGTTACACGAGGAGAGCTGGACAGGGCCTTAGAAGTTCATTAACCCAGCAGCAGGGCCGGTACCTGCTCCTTTGTGCGAGGAGGACCAGGAGCAGCACTGCCAGAGCCCTATACATGACCTCCAGCAGGCTACTGGTGTGCATGTTTCTGACCAAACTGTCAGAAACAGACTCTATGAAGGTGGCATGAGGGCCCCACGTCCTCTAGTGGGACCTGTGCTCACAGCCCAGCACCCTGTAGCTTGATTGGCATTCGCCAGAGAACACCAGTATTGGCAGGTCTGCCATTGGTGCCCATTCTCTTCACAGATGAGAGCAGGTTCACACTGAGCACGGTTGTTGGGAGTGCATACAGGCATGTGGGGGCCATACAGTTGTGACTTCAATTTTTTACTTTGATTTTCAGTTTGATTGTGAATCTAGCCCTCAATAAATTATACAATGTACATCAGTAAAGATTTCAAGATTCGGTCATCAAGCTCTGATGTGTGACTTAAGTGTTCCCTTAATTTTTTTGAGCAGTGTGTGTGTATGTGTTATACACATTTGGGTGTCAAAACTAAGATAAACAAGACCATAAAAAGGATTGTTTTCAGGAAACAGATCCACAAAAGGGAACAAGATCGTGGGACCCAGGACAAGACGAGATAACAAATGACTGGAGGGAGAGGGAGAGAGAGAGAGAGAGAGAGAGAGAGAGAGAGATAGAGATAGAGATAGAGATAGAGATAGAGATAGAGATAGAGATAGAGATAGAGATAGAGATAGAGATAGATAGATAGATAGATAGATAGATAGATAGATAGATAGATAGATAGATAGATAGATCCTCCTCCTTAGGTGCGTTTGTGCGTAGAAATGTGGTAGTTCAGCGGTTGAAAAATGTAGTACAAAAGGAAAGTGGTGTTTTCATGGGAAGGTAAACTGCTAAAAAGATTCTACAGTATATGAAGCTACATTTAAACGGATATTGAATTGTTTTGAGGGGTGTTTTTAAAAGTGTCTAAAACCTGTTTTTTCTCGCGGCCCCACATAGCTCTGCTAGTCTGCCTGGTGCTGCCCGGTCAGCTTTCCTAACTGGGGGCGTGCTGATCATAATCTACTGCAGGTAATGTACCGACTATTCATGAGTATCTCAAACAATCCCATGTCAAAAAAACCCAACTATCCCTTTAACTTAAATAACCCGGCAACATGTTTCCAACACTACCTCTTCCTACCTGAGAATTCCAACTGGATGACCCCACTCTCAACCAGTGTGTCCCCCCTCCTGTCCTGGTGGAAGAGTGTGACTCCGCCCTTCTCCAGTAAGAACTCCAGTCGGGCAAACAGGTGATCTCGTCTGGTGAAGGTGTTCAGTGTGTGAGAGTCCTCCAATGGGTCGAATAAGTCTTCTGTCTCTGCTGGACAAGCAAATCATCAGGATCAGCAGTCAGCGCAGGAATAATATTCCATCTAACACAAAACACTACTAAAGATAATACAAAACATAAAAATCTAATTTATTATACAGGACTCCAGACTAGACCACCATCACAGAAAATGTAATTCTAATAAAACCAATTGTGTGGTACCAACATCTACTGCAGCTTATAAAAAGATTAAAGACAGATGTTAAATGCCAGCCCATCTCTGGCACCAGACAGAAGTCCCTCACCTAGAATATCCCAGGAGGATGGACTTGGCAGGAGCTCTTCAGGCCTGTTTGGGTCCTGGGAATCTCCATACCAGCCTCCCCAGCCCGGGAACCAAGACTGCAGGTACTGTATCATTCCTGAGCTCCCACTCTTAGGGATGGATGTGGTGTCTGCATAGGGCTGGTGGTCACTGCCAGGCTCTCGCACAATCTATAAAAGGAGACAGAGAACAGAGAACACATGCTGAAACTATGACAAAGATACATTTGGTACATCAGTGTGATGATTGATTGTGTGTTTTGTGAGTTCACAAACAGTTGAAACTGAGGTGGAGTTAACAGGACTTTAATCTAAGGTAGACGGGGATTTCTCTTCTTACAAAGTCCACAAAGGCAACTGATGTGTTGAAATTTTAATTTCATACAATATTGTATACCCATATGAATCATGTAACGTTACCTCTGCGATCTCTTCCTGTTTTCGAGACCAGTCATGGACAATTTCTCTGAGACTCTGCAGCTCCTCTAACGTCTGCTCCTCTTCCACTCGCGCCACTTCACTCTAGATGACAAAGACAAGCATCAGTTCGGTAATGTGTGTTCAATTAGTGTGTCACAGTGTGTGAAAAAACTAATTTAACTGGGGCCAGTTTGCTTAATTGGGCAGACTTCTCAGAAATGAAGAAAACATGAAGGGTAAAGCTGGATGATGAGGTTAGTGTGGCAACCTGTAAGCCGCCAGTATGCTTCATTATAGGTTTTTGTCAGGTGGTCAAACGTCTTCAGAAACCCTGTGCCCACACCTGTAACCTTCCCAATCCAACAATCTCACACTCACACCCAAGTCACTCTGTGACTGGTCAGCTGTGCAGCCTGAATTTCTCTCTCTAGCTGTCTTTTTACATTCTTGACTCAACTACTTTTTACTAGTCACATGTACAACTGAGTGCAACACTACTGTTATCTCTGTATGTAAACAGTATTGTGTATCCCCCGTCTATGGTGGCCAGCTCTTTACTTTGTCTTCCCATGTTACTAATCAGCTCAACTATAAACACTTTGATTTATAGCACGGTTACACCATATCATATATAACCCAGCCCTTAGTGTAAATCATCAAGTAAATCCTTACAATCTTAAGTCAGATCATTTTATGAATTCTATTATAAAATGAAGGGAATATGCGGGACAATATAATGTCAATATTTGTTAGTTTTTGTTTAGATTATATTTAAAGATATGAATAATACAGTCACTTAAATCGTTGTTTATACATCATGTATGTGTTCCCTTGCAGTACCTCTTCCTGAGGACTCAGTGAGACGGCTCTGAGCCTTCTGAAGTAGAGGCTGGTGTAGGTCTGGGCATCTCGAGCTCGCTGCAGGGCAAAGCCCCAGTTGCACCGCTGCCGCTGCTCCCTGATCTCACTCAGGTTGGCCTGGATGGCAAAGATCCACCACTGACGACAGCTGCAGGGAAACACATTGTTTCATGTTCCAAGGTTTATTACAAAAACAATATATGTAATGATGTGAAATGTGAAAAAAAACTGAAGTGTGTGAACTTACTTCCCAGAAATGGGGACTTTAGGTCTCCATTTTCGGTAAAGCATCTCTCTCTCCCGGCGGTCTAGCTCTTTAAGGAACGCCATGATCTGCTGGTACTGTACCTAAGGGACAACAAACACACACACACACGATCACTGCTCTGTCTGAATGCTTCTGTTACACAAGCTAATGATCAGACACAGGCTTTGGTTTAGAGATATTTGAAATTAAATTGTGCCATAAAATTAAACAGTCGGTTCAGTACTTTTATTTGGAACTGGGATGAGTCTGGCTAGACTTATAAAGCCACAGGAAAAAGGTGGTCAGCTCTTGTCAGTGTCAGTTCCTGTCAGTTAGGCTTTACCAACTGGCCTCACAGCTATGCTACATTGCTGACTGGATTAAAAATGACAGTGAATCTGAAAATCTAAAAACTTCTCAAGTTAATCAGTCCTTATTAAGTAGTCTCCTGTTTACTTCTAAACAAAGGATGATTAAAACATTAGACAATGACAACTATTAAAGCCTGGCAGAATATAAGAAGATTGAAAGGGACAACTGTCCTTCCTTTTGCCAGTACGGGGCAACATAGATTTCTCTCCTGGTACCACAGATAGGGGCTGTGAGTTGTGGGACAGTAAAGGCATTATTACTATTGGACATTTTTATGAAAAGAGAGTACTACTTTCATTTGATCAAATATGTAAGAAATTTAGAAATTTGTTTTTTTAGATATTTCCAGGCACCAAGTTCTTTAAATAGCGAAAAACACACTGGCTTTTGCCATCAGACTTCTCCACTAGAGAATATAGTCCCTGTGGGCAAGAAGAAAGGCATTCTGGGGCTTGGGTGTATTTCTATGTATCCATACTTTCTGTGCAAGACCAAATATCTGAAATAAAAGGGTTAAACTGCAAACCTCAAAAAAATAGCTGGTGGCATGAGGTTATTTTTGATATAATACCTATGTAATATTTGACATAAAGCTCCAAGTATATGATTAAGGTATTCTATAAGATTTTGGTCCCCATTCCTAGAATACATTGGTACTACTGCTGGGCAATTAACCGAGTAAGTAGAACCTTTCACTGACTGAATCTTGCTCATGTTGGTTAATTTGGTTAATACTCCGCGATGCATGCGTTCATGCACTGTCCCCTTAAAAAAATACTACGTCATGTTAAGTCACATGCCTCCGCCCCATCCAACTAACGTTAGTCCGCAGCTGGTGATCCACATCACCAGCTTCACGAGCACAAACACTGAGCCTCAACCTGAGCAGCTCATGTGGGAGAAAAATGCATTGGCTGTAGTATATAAATTCCTTCAGCTACAATATTATATTTGTACTATGATGTTAATTGTACTTTGTAATAACTGTACTAGTCCATATTTCTTGTAATCATAACTTGTAAGTTAAGGTGCCCCTGCAAGACCCAGCCAAGGAGGGAAAAGCTGTATGAATGTGTAAAAATAAGATAAATGTTGAGGAAAACAGGAAAACTGAATAAAGACATAACAATGCTGGGGGGATGCTAAATCTGAGCTCCTTGGTTAGGACAAGACTTGGCAAAAGATTAACAATGTGTGTCTGGTCACGTTTGCTCACAGATGTCCTTGGTCGGTAGGTGAGAGATAGGACTATGTTATCACTCATAATGCTTTTCAATAATATACTCATATTATATAGTGTGCAGAAAAAGAAGAAAATTCACTTGTGCATATGTGAGTTCCAAAATGACAACTATGTGACAGTTGATGACTAAGCATGTGACATTTGGGGGTTTCATCTCTGGCAACAGCTAAGTTGGTGTCTGGTCAGCTGAGGCCTAACGCCTCAGACTCCAGAGGACAAACAGGTTTTCTGCTAATGACTAAGTAATGGAACCACCAACTGTAGAGTTTGTCCAAATTTGTTAAAGCTAAATTATGTGAAAATTAAAGTTGCTCTCCTGAGATACTTTAAGTGCACCAGGATGAGTGGAGTTCCAAGAAACATGATCCCATGATGCCAGACCTCAGTTTGAGAATAACAATTCTTCATCTGAATCATCGTCACCTAGGCTTGGGAAGGTTGTGAGGTGAACTGAACAGAACATAGAAAATTAAAAATATAATCCTTCTTTGTGTTGCAGCCACGTGGGCCTAGCAACAGTCAGATACACCCCCAAATGGTGGTTACATAAGATCTGTTGTTTCCTTTGTCTTATTGGATTGAATGTAGAGTGTTAACTTGATAGGTGTCACCAATAGCACCCGTGAGGGTGCCTATACTGTGCTCCAATCTGTCCTACTGAACTGTTACCAGGTGCAGCTTTAAAATCAGACAAGATGATTACTAATGCATAACTGATTTTCTTTTGTTTGTTAATGTTTAATCTATTGGTTTGTATTTGTGTTTGTTCGTGTTGGTCTACGTATTTGTGTGTCCAGGTGTTTGTGATGCTGTGCTGCATGTGGGGAGGATGGACCTATAAAAATTGCACAAGAACAAGCACTGTAGACATGATCTAGGATCAATACAACCACACAGTCAAACTAATAAAAAGTCCTTCTAGTTACATGTATAGTGCTTTTAAGATCAGACCTGCCTTGCCCTATCTTGTTTTGTTTTATTTTTCCTTATATTCCCTGTCATACCTTTGATCAGCAACCATACAAATAAAAACTGGTAAAAACACTGTGGAGGGATGGAATCACCTCTACTATAATCATATCTCAATCTCACATGGTAAATTCTGTATATATACATACATACCAAACACTTTCACTTTTTCATATTAATACTATTTTCATTCACCAATTACTTCTGATCCTACTGTCATTTTTGTGTGCTGATAAGTTATTGTCATTAAATGCAATTCAGATGATTTAAAAGGAAAAGTTCAAATTTTTTCAAGAAAACATTCACAGTCCGTGTTCTGTGTATCCTAAAGTTCAGCTGAAGCAAATACTATATGAGAATTCACCAGTCTGAGTTAAACCGAAGTGTACCCATGAAATCACAAAGAGGGGATTTCATATTGAAAAGATTGGAACATCAGCCTCAAAGCACCATATTAACTTCAGAATGTATTTAGAAAATATTTTTGTACTGTAATGTATACACACCTGTGACAAGCGTAATGACATGGGCTCCAGCTGAACCTGGCCCTCAATCCGTGGGGTGTGTCGGGACCTCAGAGGCTCTTTGGAAGCGTTTCTTCTGAGCAGCACGGAGGCACACACTGGTTCAAAGATGTATTGATGTTCACGGCTCTGCATACACCGGGTCATTGCATCCTATACAGTTACAAAAGTAATCAGACAAGTCATATGGAATTGTATCTCTTTACATCTAATTTGGTTTTGCATCATCACAGTGCGCCATTCGTGAGAATTTCTTCACCAACCAGCTTGCATTTTGTGCTTCATGATATAATCCATTACTGAAAATCACAACGTATAGTAAGATTAGGCATTGAATTGAAAAATGTACCTAAACCAACATTGTGACTCTTTCATAATGTTTAAATTGAATTAATTAAGTTCCTTTACTATCCACAGGTCACTGTCAGTTATCACTGGATGCTGTGTTGTGTGTCTCAAGTAGCAGGAATGTCTTTTTTTCTGGTGTTTGTACAATTCAGTTTGGTTAGGTATAATTTATGGTAAAGCTTGTCTTAAAGAAAAGTGACATGGAAAACTGGTGCCGTCCAGAACTAAGGTCTAATACTCTGTAACTAATGAGATGGCTCCTAACTGTTGAAGGTCACCACATGCCTGACCTGGATCTGATTTGCAGGCAGCTTTCCCAGCATTTCACACTCTGTGTCCCAGTAGACACAGAAGTCTTCAATCTCCAGCTGCTTTTGTCGGAGGGACTTCTGGACCTGCAAATACAAAGAAAACACCTGTTAACCTTAAATGCAAAGACCCATGGTAGTCCTGAATTAATGGAGGCTGTCAAGTACCATATAAAGATCTCACAATTACAACATACAGTTCTCATAAATGTCAGATTCCAAGACATCCTTACAAGAAAAAAAATCTTTGGGTAATGCAATGTGCTTCCTGATTACAAACCTAATGCATGCATTACAGAAAAGAGAGGTCTTTGACCTATAACCAAACCAGTAGTCCTGCTATGTACACAAATGTTTAAATACCACTAATCCACTAAAAACTTTAAAAAATAAGGAATGAAGTGTAATTTTACATCATTACTTTGCAGTCACTTTGAGTGAAAACTTACCGACTCCTTAGAGGGATTCTGAGCAGAAATATTGTTGATGCAAACCCCAAAGGAAAAGGGTTTCTCTGGGTTGGAGAAGTCATCCTCAAATCTAAGATGTACATCTTGAATATTGAGCTACATACAAGAAGGAAAAAAAGTTCAATCTGTGCCTCAGGGTCAAATAATAAAAACTACCTGATTACGTTAGGCAGGCTGACCGCAGTGTCAAGACAGCAATGTGGAAATTCTTTGTCCTGATATCTGGAAGGTATTTACTTAATTAGGTACATGTTAAAACCTTGCCTATGTTGTGCATAATTGTAGTGTATCATACAGTATATGGCTGCTTGATTACAAGAAAAACCTGTTTCATTGCTATTATGGGCAACTGGGCCCATATTCACAAATCATCTTAAGGCTAAAAGTAGCTCCTAACTTTCCGATTTAGGAGAAACTGCTAAAAAATAATGGACGTGTCAGGACTCCTCGTTTTTTTGGCTCAGAGTAATTCACAAAGCCACTTAGCGCTAAATGTATTACCTAAGTCTAGGAGAAGTTGGAGGGAAGACATGGCTTCTCACACAGATGGCTAACAGGTTTAGTTAGGTAGTCTATGACAGCTGAGTTTTTTAAAATTCTGACCCTCACAACATTCACCCACCATTCTCACTTACTTACTAAGATGTGTACACACCAAGTTCTTTTGCTATTCTGTTTTGTATGTACTCTGCAAAACTGATAGATAAAAATATATGTGATGTTTATGATATAGTCCCAGCTATAGTACCTAATATTGGATAACTCACCTCAATGTTTTCCACAATCCTGGTGACTACTGAGGCAGTGGCAGAGTACCAGTAAGACTCTCCTCTCTGTTCACACTCACTCTGAAGGAGCCGTCAACAACAACAAAGAGTGTTAAAGATAAAAGTGCTTGGTAGAGAAGAGTATAGGTTTGACACATTAAAACAGGTGAAGGACGCAATGAACATACATCAGGACTAGAAGACCAAGCCACAAAGTTCAGTTCCATTATCTGATTCAGACTCCCTAATTCTGGCATGCAAACTGGAGCTCTCTTTGTCTAAGGTTTAAAATCACCAAATCAAAACACCAGAGAATAATAGTTGAATTGAAGAAGTGACATGCAGCATCAAAAATTATGTTGAACATGTCAATAAGTCTGTAGCTACTCTAGTGTTCATGTGGGTCTCCAATGCTCATTAGAGACTAGAAAACTAAATGGAAGAAAAATTATTATTATTTTTAGATTAACCATTGATGGGACAAGTGAAAAGCACATTTTATCTCTGGTGTTGATCTACCTACTTTGAATTTTTCTTCGAGAGCCTTAAGGAGACGTTTTTTGCGCTCTCTCTCCTCCTCTCTCTCCTTCTCTCCATCATACTCCTGCAGCTGGGTGGGGCCGATGATCAGGTTGAGCTGGGACATGGAGATGACCCATGGGTCACTGTGAGGCCGGTAGAAAGGGATCTGGAGAGTAATCTTTCCAATGAAGCCTGGTGAAAGACAAGATGATGTGTGCATCATAGTGAAGGAAATACAGACTGAAGCTGAAAAATTAAACTGAATTTTGAATTATATGTAGATAAATTCTGACTATATCAAGAGCATGTAAGTCAGTTTTGTTGAAACAAGATGAAAATGATGTATTTCTGAGCTAAATAAGAGATTTGTAAATCTTCTGAAGATGTCATGGATAATCATGTGCGTTATGGCCTTTGTTTTAAACCATGGTACTTGTCATTCATTGCTAGTGATAATGCTGAAAATAAATGTTTCTAAACTGCATTTGAGGAGCATTCCACCCAATTTTACACACAAAGATCAGTTATCATTATGAGGAGTACTCTGAAGGTCTCCATCACTGTCCATGGAGCTTTCAAAGTTTAAAAAAAAAAAACAGCTAAACTTGGTCTTGACTCTTACGGTTTTTAACAGAGAGCCAGTGCTACAAACTGGAGGAGCTGGGCATTAAAGAAACAGGGGGCTTATAAAAGACACTAGTGATTTGCATTATGAGAAATGTAGAAGTTTTTGGAGTTTGATCTATATCAGGAGCAGGAGATCAGAAAATCCTGGCATCACTTTTTTGATCTCTCCTCTTTGTCTCTCACTCATTCACTCATAGGGTTGCATAACATGCCCCACTGTAGTATATACATACATATATATATATATATATATATACATATTAATGGCATTCTATGAGAAATGAGCAAAACATGATGAAACATGTCGAATCAAAGGCACTGAAACTTGGTGAATAGCTTCCCCATACTTCAGTGCTTCCCCTACATACAAACGGTAGCAATGTGACCAATACTTATATTACTTATATTATACCTATGTTTTTCTTATATTTTCATGTCCATTGCTTTAACCTCAATTAAAATACTTTTTTTATGCATTAGTCACAAAAGCAACAGCAGCAGATGAAGCAATCACTTGTGCATGTATAAAAAAGTCAAAGAGTCCAAACGCAGAAATTACCCCTTACATCTAGAACCACAATATAATGACCTCCAAAAGTTACAGATAAATGCTGGAGAATATGACTAGTTAGGGCTCCTTCCATTTGCCTCCAGAAGTCCTCAATTGTCTCTGGAACTTGTTTCTCTTTTGCAGATGAAACTCCCTGACTTTCTCTTCAAAGGCATCTCTCAAAACTCCCTCAGACTCATTTCTCTTCAGTAGTGAATGCAGGTATGTAAGATAAAGAACACTGCTCCTCCACCATTACATTAGAGCACATGTAACCAAACAGGAAAATCCTGATTCAGAGTTAGACTGTCAGCAATGTAGAGCAGTGTAACTATAAAAAGTCAAGAGAGAAACACCAAGCTGAGACCTTTTTATTATTCTGGCATCTAAAGAACAGTGGCTTGTGGTGGAAAAATATCTTAATCTATAGGTTTTGTCATTTGGACTAAACAGTCTTTAAAAACATGTCCGTCTGACAATGTAATTTTAAAGTAGACATATCGTTTAGCAATTACCAAAGCATAAAATTTGTCAATCAGTTGCACAACTCCTCGCAAACATACAGTACCCTGCTTTATTCACCATACAATGTTTGGGTGTCTTCAATTTTCAGTAAAAATGCAAAACACAGTAAATGTGCTGATTCAACAACTCAAAATGAAATAAGCTTCTCTGTTGATGGTGGTGAAATTAAACTATATGTGCAAACAATATCAGTGGTGTCAAGAAGAGAGAAAAAGTGGGGCTGATTAAAATAATGACCTTTGTGGGGTGCCATGTACAATATTGACTAATGACATCATGGCCCCTATCACGGTTAGATGTAATGTTGTAATGTTACTAAAGATTATCATTGCTATCCATCAGCAAAAAAACAACAAGAACAAAAAAAATTAACTTAAGCATACAGCTCTTGAACAAGTAATCTGTGGGATATACATGGACCAATCAAAAGGATTGCTTGGTTATAGTTTTTTCGAGTTATGTGTGGTAAGTTTGTGAGGTCAGTCAATCATGGCCCTGTTCAGACCTGCATTAACATGCATTGTCAGTGATCCGATGACAAGAGGTCAGCTCTAAGTTCGTCAGTTCACACCTGGATTTAAAATATCTCAGTGACCACTTGTGATCGGATCTCACTGCTTTATGTGCAAACAAACAGGTATGCATTGATGTTTTCAGCCGATCCGACATACGGGTCCACTGTCAATCTGTTTGTGTGTGTGTGTGAGAGAGTGAGATAGAGAGGGAGAGAGAAAGCGGGGCAAAGAGGGGTTGAGTGAATCATTGCTCTGCTCACAGCTCTACAGAGAAATCAAGTTTAATCCATTTGAAATAGTAAAATATTTCGTGTTCGTGAAGAAACTGTGTTGGGACTTATCAGACTGTGACAGAGGACGTCAGTGGAGTAGGTGGCCCTTCAGAGGACGTCAGTAGAGTTCAATGTGGCCCTGGACACATTTGTGTTCACACAGCCAAAAGAATGTGGCCACCTCTGAATGCGGTCTGAGTGATTGGATCTCAAAAGAGCCTCAGTGTGTCTCAGGCGTCCTCACACCTGAACTTAGAGCTGTCCACTGGTGATCAGATCACCTGAGACGGATGTTCATACCAGGTCTGAAACGGGGCAATGTGTCTCACCTGCTTTGACTTCAAATGGCAGATCAAACTCTCGGAGGGCATCCTTCCTCAGGGGGAGGTTCTCCAGCTCTACTGCACCTGAGGAATGACACGAAACAGACACTGTCTGTCAATGCTGGGTTGCCTCACTTTCCTAATAAGTGCTGATGATCAATTAAAATTTAAATTAAAACTGACTGTTTGTTTCACTGTGACTGAATTGTTGTCCAATGCAACAGACCACGCCACTACTTTTAAATGTCTTAATATAGTTCACACAATAACAACACATATATACTGTCAGGTGTTACAATCATTTTGTCGAGCCATTGATAACAATAAAGGAAGGCTAAAAACACCTCTCTGTATACAGTTCAACAGCACCGCAAACTACAGCGTCCAGTGACAAAACAGCTGAATCAGCACCTCTCCAAGACAGTTTCAGCACAACCTTAACATTAGAACCTTCATGAAGGAGTCATAGGATTTCTTTCAGAACTGTTGTATCAGACTGCATTAATTTTAGTGGTGTGTCACTCTTGTTTTAGTGTACATATCAATTCTTAGCGGCATTTTCTTCTCATGTCACCCTTGCACAAACTTTACACTCAAGTGCTACTATGAAACTAATAAAGCTCAATTTCAAGTCGAAATAGACAGCAAGTAGTGTAGCCCAACACTGTTATAGTTCAGGTTGCAGCGAATATTGCAGCCTGAGTCTCAGGTCTAACACTGAAGAACCAGAATCAGAATCAGGTTTATTGCCAAGTAGGTTTTCACACACAGGGTGTTTGGTGTTTTGGTGCATAACAATAAGCATAGTAAGAAGAAAAAGTATAAAGAAAGATAAAGCCAAGCAAATCAATTTGCATATACTTGAAAGTCAAGAAAGCTCTCACTGTGACTTAATACAGTTTAGACTTTTCAAATTGATCTGCACTTTCATCTGTAGTAATACGTAATTACCTCATACACAACAATAAAAGAAGAAATCATGTTCACTTTGACAGATTACTTAGAGGGAGGGGAAGAATGAAAACACATTCCCACATGCAGAACACTGCAACGTGCTTCGTAAAATAATTAGCAGTAATTTTAAGTGACCAGAAAAATAGAGGCATGTGTAATTACCTTTCAGAAGGGCGATGGAGAGCTGATCTGTGTTCAGGTTGCTGACATATTTGCCCAGGTATGTGTTTAGCACCCAGGCAACAAGGCCCTCCAACATTCTGATAGGTCAGGGATGATGAGAGCTACACCAAGGTGTGGGAGGAAACTGTGATGATGAAAAACACCCTGTTGATTGTAGCCCTGACAGGGGAGGTGTACAATGTATATACAAGTAATATAATACACATAGGATACAGGATATAGGACACAAATTTTATTAATCTCTTTACATATAGCAGTAAACTGCTAAGTTGATCACAACTCGGTCTTCATTAAGCTAAATCCTGTTCTCCTGCAGAGGAGATTTATAATTTGCCAAACTCCGTTCTAAAATGTAAAAAGTTAATTTGTTCATAGCCACAGTTTAGTACAAGCTTCAGTGTGATATTAAAGACTTTTCAAGAATTGTCAGTCTGTTGATAAACTCGGCAGACAGGGCCTAATAAAACGTAGGCTTACATTGCACGTTACCGCTTACAGGTGATACTGGCATTGGGAATATTCCCATTCCTAATACTGACTGAAGGGTCCAAATAAACTCCAGTCTAGTTCTATAAATTACGTGCCTATGCCATACATTCAGACATGGCCATGCTGATTAAGTTTGGCGATAGAACCCAAAGTGAAAGTGTCCGAGGTCGTGTCTTCAATGACAGCTAGCGGTAATGTAAGTTACAGAATTAGTTAAAGCAGCGACAGTTTCTAATCAGTCGATGGATTACTCAAGGCTGCCATCTTATCTGACGTTGGCACAGTGACAGTAACTATAACACTCAACTAAAGTTAGATGTTAACAAAGCAGCACCATAACTCCACCTAACTACAGCTACCATTAACTCAGCGTTAATGTAATACACCAAAGGCAGTGCTATTGACTCACCGTTTCAGACACGTCCGTTTATCGACCCAGCTTGGCTGAGTCCATGTCGCTGCCAGCCTAACGCCACTGTCAGAAGGTGGTCATGTCGTGTCAAAACCACTCAGGACAGGACTCACGGTAAAGGGACGGTTAGCGTTTTATGAACCGCATACTGGAGACTGCCACGCATTAACTAACACATATTATCTAAACGAGGACTAAGTAGAAATGACAATGAACCTACTTAAGAGTTGTCACCATCAGCAAGCAGCACAAAACTGGTTGTGGTGACGGACAGGGCAAGGTTGTGATCCTAGTTAGCTAGCCAATTAGCTACAACTAGCATGCGAAGGGTGTCCAGTCAAAAACAGGCAGCCGACTGTATCACACTCAAAGACAAAACTAACCGGGTTCGTTTTCACAGTAAACACAGTTAATCCTTCCAGAATAAATAGATTAATACTATATTTTAAAACTAGAGAGTTATGTGTTGCTGCTTCGTAAATAAACACACTTCCTAATACCGTTGAGCTTCCAACGCATACTTCCTGTCATGTGACAAAAACAAACCATTCCTCTCGTTTTGCGTTTGGTTTAAAACCGGGGACTGCGAATTTAAATGTTCTGCTGATATTTCCTACTATCCAACGTACAGCTGCACCAGCTAAAAAGTAATGTAATTTATTATTGATATTTTAAAAACCTAAAATAGGGCTGCGTAGTAATTTGGTGAGGTAGCCTACGTACGTAGGTGCCTAGCCTACCTACGTACATATTTTTTCTAGCTGATAGCGGTGAGCGTATTTTCCCGGTGTATTTGTCATTTGGCGAGAGCTGTTGTGAGCAGCACCCTTGTTAGCATCTGACTCTGACTCTTGACAAGGGACAAAATAAACAGACCAGGAACACAACACGAGGACTTCCGGTGTGCCGAGTTCTGCCTGCCCGCCGAGAAATGCATGTTAGGTTTTTTTAGTTAGTTTCTTAGTTACTTAGTTACTAAGTTTATTGTCCCCAAGGGGAAATTAATTTTCACAGATCTGTACAGAGAACGCCAACATATGCACATTGCACATAATCACACAACAGTGTTTGTTTGTTTGTTTGTTTGTTTGTTTGTTTTTCCTTTATTGGAAACTTCAAATTTACAAACTGTAAGACAATTATGGAATTTTTAGAAAAATAATGTAGTAAAAACAAATACAGCATAAGAGACATTTACACAGAGACAATAAATTAGGTACAAAAACAGCAACAAACATTAAAATAGATTAATCAGAGTAAATCATAAATTAATTATTAAAAATAATGAAATAAAATAAAATAAATGACTAAAACTAAAAACTGTTAAAACTTACATATTAAGGCACTTCATTGAGGTCAATTTCTAGTAATACTTATATATTTGGCATGTTTGGATTTCATTAATTTCAGGGACATAGTATAGAGTTAAATTGCATTATAATAGCACACGGAGATGGGTGGGGTCTTCATAAATTTAGCCTTATGGATAAAGAAATTGGTTAAAATGAGCAAAACATTGATCATTAGGTCCAATATTGTGCTCTCTAGAAATAAATAAAAAATAATTCTAATCTATAGTAATAATTGCTGTGGTTTTGCTACTTAACCATTCCATGAATTGTTTCCAGAACTGGGTATAAGACAAAGAGATGCTCTGTTGTTTCAATATCACCTTTATAGAAAACACATTCATTTACCTCCAAGCCAACTCTTAGTCTTATAAATGCACTGGAAGGGTAGAAATCATTAATTATTTTGTAGTGGATTTCTTTTGTTTTGGGTGGAACTGGGCATTTGAAAAAAATTGTTCTCAGTCTGAATATTTTATTTTGGTCAAACAAATCCATAACATTATTTCTACAAGACTGAGCAGGGTATAAATCATTTGTTAGAGTAGATCTTATGAATTTGTTTGAGCACTTTATAAACTCTATTTATAGAAAGTGTGGGAAGATGATATGTGGATATATTTTGCTAAGATAAGGAATGAATTGGGTATGGCACTGATAAGAGATTTACATTCTTTGAGGTTGCATTCAAAGTCCTATTTACAACAAAAAATATTGTAAGGTAATACATCTCCATTTGCATCTAATAGGTCCATCACACAACAAATATTCCTATGCATTCAGTTCCTATTAAACAAAGACTTCCTTTTGTGAAGCACATATCTGTTCTTCCATAATGGTGTATTGTGACGTATGAAGTTGTGATTGTAAAATAATTTCCACAAAAGTAAAACCTGTTGGTGATATTTAGAAAACTTAACAGGCAATTTGGTGACATTGTAATCACATTTTAAGATAAATTTGATCTTTTCAAATACAGTTTTAGGGAATATGTGCTAGATACTGCCAGAGGATGTAACAAATTTAACAAGTTCGATTCATACATTCAAAGTCAATTGCTTTTACCCCACCTTCAGAGAGGACTTTAACAGTGATTGCTTTTTTAATATAGTGAGTTCAGTTCCTCCATATAAAATTAAAGTCAAGTTGGTTCAGAGATTTAACAAAGTCTGAACTAAGTGCTAATGAAGATGCAGGGTGAACATCTCTAGATATGCTTTCCATTTTGGTAAGATAGGTCCGACCGAAAATAGATAATCCCTTTGTAAGCAAGCACTTAGTTTGCATTTACATTCATCTGGCCTACTTTGTTTCTCAAGTTAGGCAGCTCACATTCCTTCAAATCTTTTGTTACATAAACACCTAAGGATTTTACCTGAGTTTTGACAGGTAGATCATAAATTATATTCTGTGCATGTTCCTGAATAGACAGGAGTTCATATTTTTGAATGTTGAGAAATAGTCCAGAGGCCCTGGAAAAGAGTTCTGTATGCCAACATGAACTTGATGTTCATCCTTCAGAAGCAGGGTAGTATCATCCAAAGAGGCTCTGTTCCAAATACATTAAGCGTTTTCAAGATTTTTGAAGAAAAGATGGAAGCTGCCCACTTGTGTTGTTTCTGCCGCACAGCTGTGGATCCCCGTGATGGCCATCGAGAATGCTCCCCACTGCTTGGGGGTGGCACATCTGATAGAGGATATTGAGAATCCTTGCAGTGGACCGGCTGAGCTCCATCTGGAGAAACGTATTCGTCAGGCGAAGCACTTGCAGCAGTCTGCACGTGGTAAAGCAGCAGCTCATCGTCCACCTACTCAGGGATGGGTGAACAGACATGTCTCTAAAAGGAGCAAGAAGCGCAGACGAGAGCACTCATCTGATTATGCTCAGGGGCGGGGCTCTGGACAGTCAGCTAGTAGAGAGCTGACTGATGACCCACCACAGCAGGATGATACTCAGGGGAAGATTCTGGTGGCTATTCAAAATCTCTCAGACAGACTGGGTAGGATTGAGGCTCAGCGTCCGGCTTCTGGCACAGTGCCTGAGCATCTTGGGCCAAGTTTGGCCTCCCAGGATGAGTTTCCTTCCTATTAGGGTGAGAAGTTGAATCCACCTGATGTCCTCTCCCTATATGCAGTTCCCTCTTTGAGAGTGACAGGCAGTCAGGTGACATAGCAGAGGAAAGACTCAACACTTCACTGTGTAGGGGTGAGCCAGGTCGGGGAAGTATGGAAGATGTTGGAACATCAGCTCATGATGTCATGTCAAGGATCTTGGGTGCAGCCAAGATTGTTGGCCTGCCAGGGCCAAACGAGACTCCGGCTCAAGTAGAGGGCGTCTGGGCTGGTATATCCCATTCTCAGCCTTCAGTGTCTGTTCCAGCAGCTGCAGACTATCTGCAGATGCTTGGGAAGCATCTGCACAATTTAATGAGGGGTGTTGCAAGCTGACAAGGTCTCAATATGTGTCTGAGACTGGGCTAGCTGATATGCCTGTGGTCGAGAGAGAAATGGCAGCTTTGACATCACTTGGCCCAGAACTTGGCTATTGTGCTGGCAGCTATTAGGAAGACTGCCAACCCTGAGAATCAAGATACTATGAACCTGATTGACTCGGCCCTTATAGCCCATGCCCAGCTCACAAGGGACATTGAGTCGGCCATGTCATCAGCCATGCTGGCGCGTAGACAGATCTGGCTAGCACAGACATTGTTGCCAGAGAACATCAGGAAAGACCTTACTAACATGGCGGTGGTGCCGGGCAGAGTGTTTCATTCAGACTCTCAGAGCTTATTGGAGAAGGCTGAGGAGTGTCATTGCACAAGGGAAGGTGTCCAGCGCACTTTCAGCAGAGCAGGAGTTTCTGGCTATAGGTCTAGGGGCCCTCAGCCCTTACACCAGACATCATGGTCCCGCAACTTTAGCGGACGACAGTACAGAGTTTGTTGCCTCTGGTAGTGGTGCTAAACAACCACCACAGCGTCAGCAAGGGTACCTGCCACGCTTGTACTCTAAAGAGACACAGTAGAGAAAGCACCCCCCAAGAGGTCCAGGACCTCAGGTCCATCTTAGATCTGAGGCCACTAAATGCATTCATAAAGGTGTTACATTTCAAAATGTTAAACACCAGACAAATTCTGCAGTCAATCCAGAGAGGGGAGTGGTTCACTTCCCTGGATTTAAAAGACGCTTACTTTCATGTACCCATCTGCAAAGACCACAGACCATTCCTACGGTTCGCCTGGGCCTATCAATTGAAGGTCCTCCCAATCGGCCCCTCTTTCACCGAGAGTGTGCATCGGCTCTGTCTCCTCTACAAGTGTCCGGTCTGAAGATCCTACCCTATTTGAACAACTGGCGGATCTGCGCTCCAAGTCGCAGTCAGGCACACTTGGAGGGCATGAAAAAGCGCAACCTAGAACTCCCAGACAGTTAATCAAACAATTGAGATCAGTTCATTTCGAGTTGGCTTCTTAAGAGGGGGACATAGATCTAGGGACACTGTGTCCATTAAGGGTGTTGAGGGCTTACGTGGCACGCACTCAATCTATATGGCACGCACATTCCCTGTTGTTTCTGCTATGGTAGCTGTAAACTGGGCCTTACTGTGTCTAAACAGCGCCTGTCACACTGGGTGGTAGACACCATTTCCCACGCTTACCACAGGCAGAACATTCCTGTCCCTGGTAGTCTAGTGGCACACTCTACTAGATGTATGGTCACCTCCTGGGCTGCTTTGAGAGGGGTACTGTAACTAAGGTTAAATAATCTGTGCATTTTGAAATGCTCCATGCGGTTATTGTGAAAGGATTGTTTCCTCTGCCAGCGTCTACTTCCTGTTTCTTTTATTAGCCTTTTGCATGTCGAGATGCTTGCTCGGTCAACCAATCGGGTGTCAGCTCCCGCCTGGTTGACCTCCGCACGTGGGGTTTACCTTTTTCTCGAGCTGCGAGCAACCATCAAGACAGGCAACACGTGAAACAATGAAAGAAAAACTATGAAAGTTGATTAAAGCTGATAAAAACCTACAGGATAACTTCACCGCGATCCCGTGAAAAAAACGCATTGACCGTCGTTTTGACCGTGCTAATCGCTAGCCGCTAAGGCTAACAAACACA